TTGGATGAGGTGGAGCGTATTCGTAGATGTTAGTGAGATGTCTGTTATAGCCAGCGGTGTTTTGCTGCGGATTTTAATGAATGTGTATTCCTAATAGTCGAAAATATTCGAGGCCCAAGTAATTGAATAGAAGGCGGAAAGACGTTCTCTGGGACTAGTACTTTATTTGCCCGAAGTTTCGGACTCTCACTCGAGGCCATTGTCAAGGAATAACAAAATGTACAGCTCAAATCTGCCGGGAATGACCTTTACCTCCGCTGTCGATTTTTTTGCGCAACGTGAGTTAGGCTTCAGTAAGATTGATACGCCTGTTAATTGAATCCGCGTGCGAGTGCCACGCCTCCTGCAAAAGGCGTGCGATTCGGTCGTCCGACTGACCCAGTATTCGCACGTGTTCGAAATCGAAGCCGTGCCCTGGCATAGATGCGTGAGCGGCTACCAAAGAAAGGTCATTCCGTCCCACGGCAAGTTCATGCTGGTGTATTCTTGTCGGGCAAATAAAATACTGGTCCCAGAGAACGTCTTTCCGCCTTCTAATGAATGTGTATATGTCGAGGGGATCCAGACGGGGACTGAGTATGCCTATGTAATATAGCCGAACAACAAGAATACATTTGCTTCCGCGAGATGGCGGTGACCGACCTTGGAATATGCGTTCAAAGGCACTGCGAGCAACACCAATTGCTCACTTAGTGTGGTGACTATAGACTGAACCTGCAAGACGGGATTATGGTGTGGTTATTTATTTGCGAACTGAGACACTAAGAAGTGACTGCAACCCATTTTGAGGAAAAAAATTGCGCAGCAGTTAATAGGTTGTGCAGTGAGATACCGGCACTAACAATTACCTTTAAAGCACCAGTCGGACCGTGTCCTTCTCGCGGTGAAGTAGGGCAGGAAGTTGAGGTGGGTTGCATGTTACCAGCGCCGCCAGTGCGTTCCAGAAGAGAAGGAGCCGGAAAGTCCGCAGAGGTAGGTGACTGCGAGCAAAAGAAGGCAGAAACGCCAGAAAGCTGATATGAGGGGTGTTTGAGGAGATGAAACAAAAAGTTCGGTTTGTGGAAAACTTTAGATTACTCTTCGTGTACCCAAGTATCCCTAGGAAGACTCTGTGATCGCAACGGTAAAAACATTGTGCAATATTCATCATGCATCTCCCATCGCAAGCATCAACTCGCAGGAGGTTAAAGTTGTGACCTGTGTAGGAGCTCGGTATATAATAAAAGCGTGGGACGTCACATTTAGCTCACTCCATCCCGTCTTTCAATGGAAAGCAAAGAAGGGAGGCAGATGGGAATAGGCGTAGACACAACGATAGCATCAATGTCCGCATTTTGCACAGATATGCTGGTAACCGCTACGCGCACAGAAAAAAAATAAAAACAAATTTGCTAGGGTGTAGAAATGGCATTCACCTATCCGCGGTTCAATATTCGCGAAGTTAAGTGATTCGTGGATTTTTATCGTAAAATTTGCACAAAAGAATCTCTAATTATTCGCTTTTATTTTCTTGATTAAATACACACCTAATGATTAAAATGACCATCCCACCGCCCGAGTCGTGTGCTGGGAGACATCAGCGCAGTGGTTGACAGACCTAGAAAGCATTTGTGCTTGCGGCATTCAGGCATACACGCACACGATGTGGCCCCACTCGTATGGCACATTAGCTTTCCACGGAAATGGCAAACGGAAAGGAGCCAAAACAAATGCCTTCCAGTGACGGGGGGGGGCACTGATTGGCTGCCTACACTAGGTGATTTAGAACGTCTTCGGGTGTGTTTGTGAGATGTGTGGTTTGCCCAGCGATGTTTTGCCGGTAATTCAAATAAATGCGCATATGTCGAGGGGTCCCGATGGTGACTGAGTATGCCTATGTAGTGAGACCAAAAGACAACAATATATTTGCTCCTGCGACACGGTGCTGTTCGACCTTGAGATATACATTCAAAGCCGCTCCAAGCAACCTTCACTGCTCATTTAGTGTGACCCCACTTACGTAGCCCAAATTTGCGGTTTGTACGGCAGCAAAATCACAGAGTCCACTTCACACATCCGCTGGAGACTGAACCCGCAAGACATGATCATTGAGTATTTGCGAACTGATACTTTAATAATTGAGCGCAAACCGTATTGAAGGAGAAGGTTGCTCAACAGATAGTAGATTGTTCAATGACACTCCAGCACTAATAATTACCTTTGAAGCCCCACCCTGGCCCCATCCTTCTCGCGGTGAATTAGGACTGGGCGTTGAGATGGGCGGAAATTTAGAGGCGTTGCCAGGGCTTTCCGGTGAGGCAGGAGCCTGAAATCGGTCAGCAGTAAGTGACTGCAAGCAAAAGAAGACAGGAACGCTAGGAAGCTAATATGAGGGGTGTTTGAGTAAACGAAAAAAGCTTGAATGGCTGACCAAGTCAGAATTATCTTTATCTACCCGAGTATCCCTTAGGAAGATTCTGTGATCGCGACGGTAAAATTATTGTATCTATTTATCGTCATAGATCGTCCATCACAAGCAACGAAGACCACAGCTCACACGAGATCGCAGTTGTGACCCGTGAAGGAGCTGAGCATGTAATGAAAGAGTGTGAATCCAGTTGTGCGCCTCTTCACGGAAGGTAGGGGAGTGAAATTGACCAATCGCGGACCTCTATGATATTATACTTACCGATCTCGAACTGGGGAGCAAAAAAGACCTTGTCTAAGAATTTGACCTTGTCACGTATAGGTGCGCATTTTGCCGGCTTAAGAATGAGGAGTGCCTGCTCTAGGCTGCCGATTAACACATGCTACTAATTAGTGAGCACAATCCTTACTGAAGGAAAGGTTTTATAAACAGTTAGTGGGTTGTGCATTGACACTCCACCACTAATGATTACCCTTAAAGCACCACCCTGGCCCCATCCTTCTCGCGGTGAAGTAGGACTGGGCGTTGGAATGGGTGACATTTTAGAGGCGTCGCCAGGGCCTTCCGCAAAAGCAGGAGCCGGATATCCCTCAGTAGTATGTGACTGCAAGAAAAAGAAGGCAAGAATGTTAGAAAACGAATATGAGGGGTGTTTTATAAAGTGAAATATAAAAATCTAGCTCTGCACATATCATGATGGATATTACACGGATCTCATACGTAACTGACAGACCACTTTGAGAGGAGCTGAAGAACTTGCTGGTGTTGGGAGATTTTGCACATACACATCATACTGAACCGAAGATCATTTCGGTTGAGTTCAAATGGGTAATTTGCCCTTCATTGCCTGGAAGGATGCTTGCGCATATGAGCCTTTGTCGAATAATGCACACGACCAAGCGAAATAACCGTCTGCTCCGGGGCTTTGCACCCCCGACTGGAACAGCTTCCTAACATTTCTGGACACACACACTCATGCACCATACACACACAAGAAAACGGTTCCACAGCAATTACCGCAGGCATGGCATCAGCACCTCTCACGTCAGTCGGAGGCGTGCTCTTTGGTAAGTTAATTGTAATGTGGGGCCAGCTGCCTGCCCCAAGGCCCTGCATTGTGAGCAGGTCAAGTGTGTGGAACACGTGCAACGAAGTTGGGGTGTGGTGGCACACCTAAACGACGCGCCAGCCAACCGCATTCGATTTCGCACTTCGCATATTTTTCAGTTAATACAAGAGAAAATGCGACTTGTACTTGTACTTGCTACGGCTGTGATCATGACTGATCTAGCCGGTCTCAATTATGTCCCGAATGGTGCCTCTCCAAGCGCGACGATCCATGGCTGCAGACCTGGACAGTTCAACCCATTCTCTTCGCCAGCGACGGAAACCAAATACCGAAGGTCCGAAAACCACTTCCATGTCTTGACGGACCGAGTCGAGTTGACTCCCTCTTCGACGTTTCCAATTAGGCAACGGTTTTATGTCGAGGGCACTAATACTGAGCTGTTGAGGTTGGCGACGAAGAACGTGTCCAAACCATCTCAGCCGTCTTTCCTGA